TAATAATAATAATAATAATAATAATAATAATAATAATAATAATAATAATAATAATAATAATAATAATAAATATAATATAATTAAATAGTAGCAGTATAATATTATAATAAATAATGTCTCTGTCTTTTTCATTCCATCAAAAAATAACGATTATTTCTAAATATTTTAAGGATGATGAAAACGATCCTCAAACTTTGTCACAAAAAACTACCACCACCACTACCACAACTACAACCACCACGACTACTATAAATGAGAATGAGGAAACAAAGAATGACTGTGTTAATAAAGAGAAGTTGACGATAATGGCGACTATAACGGCTACTAATATTGAACAAAAAGATGAACTTTTTGCCCTATCAAAAACTTTAATAAAACGCTACGTTATTTTTAAACCTCGTGGATCACAACTTGACCGTGAAACAATGGATAAACAGCAAGATCCTTTTCGTGGGTTTTTTACATTATTCTGGATAGCAATGGCTTTCTATATTATACAGACGGCTACGCATAATTTAGAGAGAGTTGGAGCTTTCGTTGATTTATCATTTGCGAGATTATTTTCACGTGACGCTTTTGGATTGATATTAAGTGACGCGTGTATGATTGCTGCTACTTTTATTGATGTCGTGTTTCAAAAGATCGTTTCTCGCGGTTGGATAAAATGGCGATATACTGGTATGATTATACAACATACATTCCAAATTTCTTTTCTACTTGTTGCAACTTATTGGACATTTTATAGGTACTTATTTTACTTGTCATTCTAATAATTGATACAAAAGCAGCATGCATAATCAGTTTATACATATAGGGATGATCCCTATATGGTAAAAGAGAAATCCGTTTTGATTCTAACTATATTAATGATTACTAATCATTTATTGTATTTTGTCATACAGAGGTTGGCCATGGGTACAATCAGGATTTTTTGTGCTGCATACAATTTCAATGTTGATGAAAATCCATTCTTATGCATTTTATAATGGAGATTTATCTTCTTTGACGATTCGGCTGAAGAGCTTACGAAAAGAATACGACTTATTATTGGGATTAAATAAAAAATCCGATAATGATAATGTTAATGACGATGCAACTCACCGTCTATCAGAGACACGTCAAAAGATTGACGAGATTGAAAGTTGCATGAAAAGTCCATCGGGAAAAGTATCCTATCCTGAAAACCTCACTTTCTCGAATTTCTTTGATTTCTTGTTGATTCCAACTTTGGTTTACGAATTTGAGTATCCAAGAACTGTAAGGTATGTAAAGAGCATTGTTTTTAATATTTACCAAACGCATAAACAATTAATCATAGATCCTTGTATTATTATTTAGAATTCGGCCTTGGTACGTATTTGAAAAAGCATTGGCTACTCTGGGAACTTTTCTCCTTTTATATGTTAATACGGAAACATATATCATTCCCGTTATTCCGAGCGCTGCTGAATCTTTTACTAAAGCTTTTCTTCGAATGTCTTTTCCATTCATGGTTAACTACCTGTTGATTTTTTATATAATATTCGAGTGTATATGTAATTTGTTTGCCGAAATAAGTTGGTAAGTTTTTTTTTTTTTGGTTTTACTTAATATTATTACTATCACTACTAACTTATAATTATTTAATTAAAAAACCAAAAAGCTTCGCTGATCGAAATTTTTACGATGACTGGTGGAATAGCGCCACCTTTGACGAATACGCACGCAAATGGAATAAACCAGTCCACCATTTCCTTTTACGCCACGTTTATCAAACTTCAATCGATTCCTACAAACTATCAAAACGAGATGCGAGTTTCATGACATTTTTCCTATCGTCATTGGTACACGAATTAGTGATGATTGTAGTCTCTAAAAAGATTCGCATGTATTTATTCGCTTTGCAAATGTTTCAACTGCCGTTGATATGGGTAGGAAATTTACCCGCTATGAAAAAAAGGAGGTGGTTAGGAAACGCGTTCTTTTGGTTCGGAATGTTTTCCGGACCACCATTGTTGGGGATTTTGTATTGTTGTGATATTTCATTGGTTTCTTGGTTATTTTTGATTTGATTTTTTATTATTCCAATTTTTATTTAAAGTCCATTTTTTTTAGATTTATGTGGTGATATTTTTTGTTTTATTTTATTACAGTTGTATATTTTTTGTTTTATAATATAGACGTAAAAAAATAATTCATCATTTGATTAAAGAAAAAAAAGTAATTCGTTGATTTTCAGATATTGAAACTGAGTTAACTTGTTTTTAAACTTAACTCCTGTGCATTGAATGTCGATAAGTTGGATGATAGGTTGATACAATGATTTAGTGTGAAAAGTCAAGAAAGAATTTCACAACGGGTAATATGTTCTGCATGTTTGCGGTTTATTTCCAAATCTTTTGTTACTTTTCCCCCAAGGTAATTCTCAATTGCTTCAATATCGCCTGAACCTCCGTTTCCCTCGCATGATGCCACAAAGCAAAACCCCCAATTTTCAACGATTTTTGTTTTAGCGAAGGACGTTTATTTTAAGAGGTAGCAGGTAAGTCTGTTTGAGCGGTATTTTTGATTTGTATAATAGCAATGCATCATTTTATCCAGAAATGTCATTTTGATTGAATATAAAAAATCCCTCAATCAATTGGAATCGATATTAATTTTGAAGTAAAGATTGGACTGATCGGTAAAGTCTCGAAGTACCTCAGCATTTGGTCTGTTTTCTGGAATAGGATCCTAACATAAATTTATACCATTCGGGAATATCATGGGTCGTCGCACTCTTTTATAGATGTACAATACGAGATATATCCATATTCTATAAAATTACTATATATCGATATAAAATTAATTTATATCAGATCCATCATTGAACCAAAGAACAAATCAGAAGCATCTTGAAAAGAGGAAAAGGTGAAAAAGATTGCTCCACATATTTTCAAACTACTAGATATCAAAACTATTCAAGTATATTTATATATAAAGAGGATTATTTATGAAATTTATCAATAATTATATATTAGTTCTAATAGAAATATAAAATATTACTTACCAAGATACTTCTGAATGAGATCAAGAGAAATTAAATTCTAAGAAGTGAGAATTACCAGAAACTTCTGAAGAATTGAGAAAAAAAATGAAAATATAAGAGTAAAGATAATTTTATTAATTATAGTTCTTAAGATATCTTTTTAATAATTTAATTCAAGATCATAAATGAGAAAGTAATTAATATTAGTTAATATCTCAATAATAGAGGTTATATTAATAAAAAAATTATATTATAATATATCTCTTTGTCAAAAGATCTATTTAAATATGTTAAGAAATGATTATGCATATTTTAAAAACGTTAAAAATCAAGATAATATTGTTGCTAAAAAAAGTAAAGTAATTGCTAAATTATATAATAATACTATATTAGAATGTATAATTATTGATGCCAAAAAATATATCTTCTTTGATAATTTATTGTTCTTAAGAAACATATTGATCGAAATAGAAAATCACGTGCTAAGTTCCTAATCAAAATATTCATATCTTGCGAATTGATTGGTTTACCATTAATTCACGTGAAAAAATCACATGATTTGAAAAATGTAAAGGGTATGCTTTTCCTCCCGAGACCAAATTTTCGTAACTATGCTTCTTTATTGTGGCCGAATAGTCCACTCAAGAGTAACCGCTGGCACCTTAAGTAAAACAGCGAAAAACATTCCAACTCAGTTAGCCACTCTTTTTTCCATAAATAATGCTACTAACGTATCTTTACATTCTTCAAAAACCGGTTTTTGTACCAATTTACATGCTAGATATGTATCAAAACCACCTATAAAACTTTCAGCAGCAAATTATTTTCAACAAAGATGGCACCAGATAATACATAGGCATGAGCACGGAGGAGAAGACCACGCTCATTCCCATTCGCGTTTGGCGTTTGCATTATCTGACACGCGTAGGTAAAGAAAGTCACTTGGCAAAGGTCACGAGTTTTGTCTAAACTAGCAAAAAAAATTTTGTGTTCGGAAAGGCAGGCGCGGAACACGAATTACTTTGATTGGATTGGGCGCGAATGTTGGATTGGCAGTAGCAAAAGGGTTGGCTGGATGGTGCGTTATGTGTTCTTTTTTCGTTGGTAATTGTCTGTGAGATCACTCCGGATCTAACTATTAATTGTGATAATAAAGGCTTATGCATTCAGCCTCTTTGGTCGCGGATGCTTTCCATTCTTTGAGTGGTAATGTATAAAGAAAATTAGATATATGATAAGTTGTTAATTGATTAATCAAATAATTGATAACTTAGATCTCGCGAGTGATTTTGTGACATTATACACATTTCGCACCTCTAGAAAACCAGCGGATGAACGCCATCCTTATGGCTATGGTAAATATGATTAATTTCTTAAAGAGTGTTGGCAGATTAAAAAAAAATTAAGTTACAAGTTTACTTCATACAACAATTTTTAGGTAAATACGAAACCGTAGGTTCACTGGCTGTCTCTTCACTGCTGATTTTGGGCGCGGTTGGAATTGGACACCACTCTTACGAATTACTGATGAATGTTATAAACTTAAATATTCCAAATAATGTCTCTGAAATTGCTCAAAATATTGCATCTGCACCTATCCACGAAAATTCAAAATTAAATCCGAATGCTGCATGGTTTGCTGCAGCATCAGTGGTAGTTAACGAAGCGTTATATAGAACAAGTAAGTTTTTCAAATCTTTTTCAAGACGAAATTACTTTATTCCTAATTATTGTTGTTCCCTTTAAAAGCATTAAAAATAGGTATTGAAGAAAGGTCAGATGTCTTGGTAGCAAATGCCTGGTATACAATTATTAAAATTTTAAATTTATCATTCATTAACCCTATCATCATTGTTCAAGTCAGTAATAAAAGTTTTTTTTTTAAGGCATCATCGAAGTGATGCGGCTTCTAGTTTTGTCGCTTTGGGTGCAATCGGCGGGAGTTATCTAGGATTCCCACTTCTGGATCCAATAGGTGGAATGCTTGTAGCAGGTATGATCATGAAAAATGGTATAGAGACCATGCTCGTATCATTAAGAGAATTAGTGGATGTTCGAGTCGAAGAGGATATAATTAAAAAAGTAGAGGGTGCAGTGAACAAACTCAAGGTTTTGATTTAACTTTTAAATTTGATCTAATTTTTAAATTTGATAAATTAATGTTTGAGTATTTGAATTATTTTATTTTAGCGTAAAGAACCGAATGTTGTAAATTTTCACTCTATACGTGGCCGTAAATCCGGTCCATTTCATATGGTAGATATGATACTTCAGGTTCCTGGCAATATAAGTGTTTCGCGTGCTCACCAAATTGAGGAACAGGTTCGAAAAGCTGTTAAAGAAGAATGCGAAAGTGTAAAGGAATTATTGATACATTTGGACGCGGAAGAACATAATGCGCATCATTAAAAATAATTTATAATTATAATAATTTTATAATGACTTACCATTAAGCTAATTATTACCATTATGCGTTATCGTTACTGCATATTAATCGATCAATCAATCAAAATTATAATAAACAATTGTTCTCGCTGCGCCTTCGGAGAACTAAGCCAAATTTTTTTTATCAGGCCATCGATCTTCAATTTTGATTATTACACATATACACGTATTTGCATGACGGTACACGTATTCCAGCTAACCATCTGACCCCACTCTCGCATTTTTTATAAATATCGCTTCTCCCACGACCTGTAAGAAAATTATAATTATTATTATATAACCTTTCATAATTCCTTTTGTGTTCGTTCCTATCCCTTTCCCAAAATTTTTTTTACTCTCTTTCTGTTTTTCTATTTTGTGCCTTGCTGTATTATTCATATATAAATAAAAATAAATTATAAAATGGAATCAAAAAACACACAGGTGGTCACCTTCAAAGCCTGTTATAATTCAGAGCTGCGCCGCGTTTCGTTTCCTCAATCTTCCGATATCACATATAGCACTCTTTACTCGCGGGTATTTTATCATGTTCTACTTGATGGAGAACCTAAATTTTCCATTAGAAAAAAAGCTAAACTAAATTATGAATTTTGGAATTTGTTGCATTTGTCAATTTTATTGTATATGTATAGCTCTCCAATCTATTCGACTTGGAACACTTCAAAATACGTTACTCTGATGAGGACGCTGATGCAATAACAGTTGAAAATGACCTTGATTTGATGGAGGCAGTTAACCACTTATCAAGCTTAAGTCGCAATCAGGATAAGCTTGTTGTCCGACTGTTCTTGGAGAAGACCAATCTTCCTATTATTCCGACTCCTACTGAAACACCCATAACAAGAAAAGCAAGTACAGCATCTACTGCAAAGTCGGCCGCAACAAAGTCGACCCGTGCTAATGAGACCAGTAAGTTATAAATTTTAGATTTCCATTTTCATTTCTTAGTGCGTGATATAATTCTCTCGTGTTTCCTTTCTAGATAAAAATAATATCGCCTCCTCTTCAAAAGAAGCCTCGTCGAATGTTGTTGAGGAGCCAACCACCAGCACCGTTGAAAAAATTGATGATCAAATCGAACGAGTGGTTAACACCAGTTTCAAAAATCTGCAAACGATGGTCCAAAACATGGTCTCACAAATTAGTAGTTCATTAGAACGCGACCTCTCTATGAGCATATCCAATTTAAATACGATCACTGCTGTACCGCGCGAGCAAATTAAAGATGAATCCCAATCGCAGCAATCAAATAAAACCGACACTAACACTAAAAATAACAAAAAAGATGATAAAAAGGATAATGAAATTGGTAGTAGTACCTCGAAACCAACTGAAACACAACAGATTTCCCGTTTCGTTCCGAACTCATCGACAGGTAAATTTTACATTTTTTAAGGAAGTTTTATTATTTGGTTGAATGCTAAATAAAAATTTTGGTTCTTCTGTTCTCTCTTAGAACCTGTTGTCCATCATGGAATAATTTGTGATTGTTGCCATCAAACAATCCAAGGAATGCGGTGGAAATGTCAAACATGTCCAAATTTCGATTTGTGCCAAGTGTGTAAATCTAAAGCTCCTAGTGTTCATCGCCACCCAAGCAGTCACAATTTCCGTCCAATTCCATATCCGTCTCATGTCTCTAAAACTCAATGTATGTTGAGTATACATCTAAATCTCCACGTTTGCCGTTTTAAAACAAAATTCACCTCCCATTATCTTCTCTTTTTTAGCCACTTCAAATCTACATTCCGCAATTTGTGATTATTGCGAGTCGGTAATATTTGGAATTCGACATAAATGTATAAATTGTCCTGATTTTGATCTTTGCAGTAACTGCATTTGTATGTACATATTTCGCATCGATATTCAATGCACGATAAAACATCGTTTTTAACCTCCCCTCCTTTTCTTTAGCTCTTGCACCTATGCAACATCCAAATCATACCTTTATGCCAATCCATCGACCAGGTGAACCTGAAATAAAGATACCGGGTATATAATTTTTTCTTGGATATTCTAATAAATTTTAATTTCTTGTCCGCTTAAAATAAATATATATATATATATATATATCTATATCTATATCTATATCTATATATTTTAGATGCTATCAATCATCCTGGTATTCGTTGCGATGGATGCAGCAAGGCGATTAATGGTGTTCGATATAAGGTAGAAAATATTAATTTTCTCAAAAAAATCATCGCTTGTTTTTAACTTTACTTCTTTAAATTTATCCTAATACAATACTATATAGTGTGGTAACTGTCCAGACTTTGATCTCTGTGGTAACTGTGAAGCCTCTCCGTTGAATAAACATGATGAGAATCATGTGTTCATCAAAATCAAGAAACCAGTCATTATTCCAATTTCTTCACGCGAACCATTACTTCAGAACTTTTATTCAGGTTCTGATCTAAAGTCACCTAGGACAAAAAGTTTGACCACTTTGGCCGAAATTTCAAACAAGTCAAAATCCCAAGAAGAAATTCAACAAGCCGCGCCATCCTCATCAGTTGTGACTTCCCAAAAAACAGCCCAATCAGCACCAGCACCTCAATCTAAACAAACAGTTCCATCTTCATCAGTCCCCACATCGCCAAAAGTGACCCAACCTTTGGCAGTCTCTCAATCACAAAAAGTAGTTCCATCTTCATCGTCTCCTGTTCCTCAATCTCAAAAAGTCCCATCTTCATCGACTTCCACATCTCCAAAAGTGACCCAACCTTTGGCAGTTTCTCAATCACAAAAAGCAGCCCCATCTTCATCGACTTCCACATCTCAAAGAGTGACCCAACCTTCATCAGTTTCTCAATCCCAAAAAACAGCTTCAATTTCATCGGCTCCTGCATCCCAAAAAGCAGCATCATCTTCAACAGTCTCATCTCAAAAATCTCTTTCATCAGTCTCATCTCAAAAATCTCTTTCATCAGTCTCGTCTCAAAAATCAGCTTTATCTGCAATGCGGGAAATTAACACTTTGAAAAAGGAAGAAAGATCATTTTTCAAAACATCAAGCCGAAAATCTAGCTCGCAATCTTCTGAAAAAACGTAAGAATCTTTCATATTATATTGCAACAATTTTCTTTACTATCTTATTAAGTTGATTCATTTGATTTCACTAGTGAGCCAATGATTAGCAGAGCGCCAACTGCTCTCTATGAACCATCGACTGTTTTGCCACCATCACCTATTTTTTATCGTACGCAATCCTCTTCATCCTCATCTCTCAGCAGTCGTCCCACAAAAGAAGTCGAGAAAACCGAGAAAGTGCCGGAGCTTGAAAAAGCTGTGGAACCTAAAGCTAACCTTGCTCTCCGTGCTAGCTTCATAGAAGATGTCAATGTTCCTGATGGAACTGTTTTACCGTCGCAAGCTCAATTTTTGAAAATTTGGAAAATGACGAATGATGGAGATGTTACCGTACGTTTATACTTACTCTTACTCTGTTCCATTCCGATATCGAATTATCTAACATTCTTTTTACATCACATGATAGTGGCCAGCAACCACAGCATTGCAATTCGTAGGTGGACAAGAGATGTTTAACGAAGCTCATTTGAAATCAGAACAAAAACAAAATGTTCCTCAATTCAAAGTCGGTCCTCTCGAACCAAATAAAACTGTTTGCATTACGGCTGACCTTCAAGCCCCTGCAGAACCTGGTCGATATGTCTCGTAAGTTCAAGAAACAGTTGGATTTTCGTATATCCACTCAATATCTAATAATAAATATTTTAAAAAAAAGTTATTGGCGTTTGACGGACGGTCTAGGAGTAGGAAATCGCTTCGGCCATCGTGTCTGGTGTGACATTATTGTCGAAGCTGCTGATCAACAATCAAGCATGTCTTCTTCCATGATATTTCCTATCTTGACTTACGATCAACAATCAATTTCAATTGATCAACTCTCAGTTTCCGAATCTACTACTCAATCAGTGCCTGCCTCGATCCAAACCTCTGTACGTACATCGGACGTCGAAAGACTTGTAGAAGCCGACGAAGATCCTTTCCAAGATCCCGCAGTTCCTTCTGAAATCGATTCGGAATTAAATTTGGAAGAAAATCGCACAATTGATGAACAATCCCAAGCAACAGCATCCATCTCTGGCACTAATCTTTCTGATTCTGAATCAGAAGCTGAATCTCTAAATTCTGAATCTTCATCTTCACAGGACGATTTCATTGTTGTTGACAAATATGAAAAATATTTTGAAGGTTATGAATCAACTCCCCGCTCACAACTCTCACAACTCTCGTCTTCAAAAGAACATGATAACCATCACGATGAGGATGAGGATGATGAGGATGATGATGACGACGACGACGAAGACGACGCAGATGTTAATAGCGCGAATTTAGCAGAGAGATCTTACCTTAATGATACCGAAACAGCTTCATCAATGGCCGCTTCTGTTGAAGAGAACAATTCGGTCGTTGATCACAATTCAGTCGTTGGTCCGGTTATTGATTACAATTCAATTGTTGACGGCAATTCAATCATTGAAGATCAAGAAGATGAAGATGTTGAAGATGATTTCAAATATCGACAAGAATTGCAAAATTTGGCCGAAATGGTATGAATTTTATTAATTGTTGTCTAAATAATTAGTAAGTTGATTAATTAATATGAATATATTTATTAGGGATTTACAAATACCGCCTTGAATAAGGAGCTTTTGATTGATGTAGAAGGGAATGTGGGCAAAGTGGTGGAGTTTCTTTGTGCTCAGTAATTAATTTATATAAACACCAGAGTAAAAAATAAGCTTTAGTTGTTGCGCGAACATTTATAATTCTATGCAGTAGTATATATATAACATTTGTTATATTTTATTAATTTTATTATCAATTAAATAAATTGCTCTTGTTTTTTTGCTTTATTTATGAAAGCTTGGGGTCATTTTGATTTTGTGTGTGACAGCTTTTTTTATGATAATAGAAAATTTCCAAACGGGCGTATCGATCCCCGTTTAAAGGAGAACACTAAATGCCACATTTTTCCTATTATGGTAGTAGACTTATAGAAAAGAAGGATAGAAGAGTAAAAAGCTGCTTCTTATAACTCACTCATTCAAGTATGTCGTCGGCCAACCAAAATGAAGTCGGCGACCAATTGTCCATTAATATAGAGAATAACTCTACAGAACCAGTGCCACATTCGTATGCACGCACTTCTGCTGATTATGTTGCAAACGATTTTGAGGAACCTGAAGAAACAAGTCTCTTGTTGGATGATGGTCAAATAAAGAAAAAGAAGGTTAAATGGTTAAGCAAACTCGGGGATGGTACCTTTAAATGGAAGACCGTACTTAAAATTTTATTGTTAATTGCTTTTATTGGGTTGATAGTGGTTCTTGCAATGGTAAGTTTAACGTCGACTTTACATATAATTTTATTGTGAAGAGGATTTTTGAATTCTAAAGTTCATGCATTGTGTTTATAGGTTTTCCATATACAAGACCATATAAAAGATGTGCTAAAATATATTGAAAAACATCGTGAATATGGAATTTTGATCTATATTGGTGTTTATACTCTTTGCGTGTGGACCTTTTTGCCTGGGTATATATTTGATTGAGCAATCTTTATCAAATCTACCTTATTTATTCTTTCTATTATTGTAAAAATATAGATCCATCATAAGCATTGCTGCCGGTTTTCTTTTCAAGCCTCTCATTCTCGCTGGTGCAATTATTATAGTAGGAGATTTGTTGGGAGCATTCGGAACGTTTATCTTTGGACGTTATATATTCTCTGATTGGGTACGAGCACAAATCGCAAAGCGACCCACGTTCTTGGCACTTAATAATGTGATTGTTGATGAAGGTTGGCTATATAAGAGTGAATGATGTTCCTTTCGCTGCTTCCTTAAACTAAATCACGTTAATCTTTTAGGTTGGAAGATTGTTCTTATGCTTAGATTGACTCCGCTTCCATTCAATTTGATTAGTTTTTTCTTTTCTGTTAGTTCAATCGAGGTTGGTGATTAACGAATGAGATTTTTTCACGCATTTTTTAGAATCTAGTATATTAATTTTGATTTTTGTAAGCTCATTCCTTTCCTTTGGGCAACCGCGCTTGGTGTCTTGCCAGGCACATTTAACGCTGTCTGGATCGGATCATTGGTAAAAAGTTTGAGTGGCATTGATAGGCCGAAATTGCATGATAAAGGTAAAAAAGATTTCTTGAACTAGACTTTTCATGCAATCATTAATATTCCTTTCAAATCAATAGATATTGTAATTATCGCAATGAATTTTACCCTTGTCGCCTGCTGCGTGATTTGTTTGTCGATATTTGGCAAACGCTCGATGAGAAAATCTTTAATGAAATTACAAGCCTCTAAAGAATCAAATCCATTGTTAAATCAAGGCGCTCAAACTCAAACAAATGCTTCCACCTCATCAGGTAAAAATTATTTCTCGACTGTGGTATATTATTAACCTCTATGTATATTGACCAAATGTTACCATAACACTTTGACATTTAATTTAATTTAGAGAACTTAATTGATGAAGAACCGCTATTAAGATCGCGAAGTGGATTCACATCACTAGAGAAAAAAATAATATATATTATGCTTACCGTGGCTTTTCTCGATCTTGCAATTTGCGTTCCATTGTATTTTTATTTTCGCTCTACTGAAAAAAAGTGAGTTTTTTTTAATAGTGTATCATATAATTATAATTAGTTTGTAATTATAACTTTATAGTATAGTTTATTTTTAGTCTATTTGTTTTTTTTGGATTTTACGTGTGTGTGTATATATAGAAATATTTATTATCATCTCTGTTTTTCTTGAAATAAAGGTTAAATTCTAGATATTTTTATTTTATCAATCTAGATGTATTTCTAATCATCCATTGTTCTTATTTATCTTTAAAATTAAATCAAATTTAATTCTTTTTATAATTTAGTTTTTAAAAAATTCCTTTAATTAGAACAATTCTTTAGAAAAAATCTGTATTAAACTATAAATTATAACTTAAATTTATTAAAAAATAAATTTTATTTAATAATATTTAGAAAAATATAATATATTTTATATAAATAATTTATTTAATATTATACATTTATAAATAATCATTCATTAATTATTATATATAATCATTTATAAATAATCATTCATTAATTATTATATATAATTAATTTTTATTAATTGTAATTAGTAAAATACATATCTTTTTCTTATATAAAAGTTTTTAGTTTTATAATAATTAAAAATAAAGTAATATGAATTAACCTATTAATAAAAAGCAGAATTTTATTAATAAAATAAAGTTAAAGTTCTTTATTTTAATGAATAAGAAGTTTTAAAAATTAATTAATTAGAATAATTTCTTAGAAAAAATATATTAAATAAAATTCTAAAAAATATTTATAAATAAAATTAAAAAAATTTAATATTTTATATTATATTTTATTACTTTTGATTGCTATTATATTAATAAAATTTTATTTTTTAAATTAAATTAAATTAATATTATTTTTTTGAGCTGGATCAAATTATAAATTATATATTATTTCAAAATATTATTATATATATATAAATAAAATATTTATATAAAAAATATATTATTTTGAAATTATATTTAAAAATATATAATTTTTAAATAATATTCTTGATAAAAATACAATATAATTTTTCAAATATTTTGAATTTTTCTAAGTGAAAAGTTCCAATTCTATATAAAATTAATTAATAATTAATAAAATTAATTACTTATATATATAATTAGAAGTTTTCACTTTAAATAAAAAATATTTATTAGTTAATAAAATTAAAAGTTTTTATTATTTATAAAAATTTTTAACACCCGAAATATCACGTGTAATATTTTTTATTGGCTGGATTTCATTATGCAAATTATAAGATTGCATTTAACTTATTTGGAAAGGAGAATCCATCAAAAAATTTAATAGTGATCATATGTGTAAAATAATGCATAAGAACAAAAATAAAATGAATGACAAAGATACTACATTTTGAAAGTTATCTGTTTTAATGTTCTCATTTTTCTATATTTTTCATCGTATAAAAAGTTAACTTTTTGCATGATCATTTAGATAATATGGATAATTTTGTCAATTTGCAATTATCTCAAGATATCGGAATAAATAAAAACGTTTAACTCGATTTATAAAATAATTGAAATATTTATTTAATAATAAAATGATTGACAGCTATATATGATATTTAGATATAGAAAGATACAGAGAACATATAAATCGATTAGACTAAGTCAGTTAACAACTAAACTTGAATGAAAGGAGCCTTATGTTCCAACAACATGTCATTTTGAGGCGACAATCCAATACAAGCACGGAACAGATTCTCCATAGCCATGCGTTGTTTGCTCAACGCGTTAACCACGGGCGTGCCAGATGGAACAAGGGGCGCTTTAAGCATAAAGCTCAAAATGGAGAGAACCGAATCGAACGGGGCAAAGTTTGCCATGCCTTCTATGCGATATTCAATACGGGTCATCAGCTCGGTAATGATTACCAAGTCCAAGATGAGCGGGGACGCCAAAAGCGAATCTTCACATGTATTATAGATAGAGATCGTCTACATTTTTCATTATAGTTATTAAATAAATTTATAATAATTTCGAGTTAAAAATAGAAACCAGATTTTTTAGACGTTTGTGTAATTATTTCCTAACTTACATTTTTACCTCCCATAAAGATTTCCGAGAAATATTCGTCCAAAGCACGTTTAGAGTCGCCGACAGACGGAACGTATTTGATCACAACAACTATAAAAAAAAGATTAAATATGTTAGCTTAAAGCATATGGAGATTAGCTATTCTTGCATCCGAAGAAATGAAAAAATGATTACCGTGATCAGGATGTTCTCCAGGTTTATAAAGGATGTGATTAGCAGCAACCATATCATCGACAACGTTACTTTTTGAAATCTCTTTGGAACGGAATTGCTTCGGAGCTGATAGATTCTTGCCATCGTTGTTTCCGAGATGATTGTAGGAAGTAATACCGATGGGTTTGATACCAGCGTTCACCAAGAAATCAACCAACACCGACTTTACTTTAGTCTGACCGGATTTGAAATCATCGCCCCCAATATAGACGCGTTCACGCTCAGCCAATTCAATACATCCAGGAACAAAAGTATTTTGCGGAGACCCATTAATGAAGGGTGTCTTTTCGAGAATACAGGCCAATGCGAAAATAGTGGATGGCGCGATTTCCGAATGACTTTTTTCAACGGCAGCCAAAAGATTATCAGCGGTATCATTGACGCCGGGGATGATTTCAGCGTAACGTTCGGTGTTAGCAGTCCACACCACGATAACTTTGTCAAGACGATTTATGCTCTTGAATTCACGTATGTCGTTACGAATATGTTCAAGATGTTCTTTTTTATTGGTGCCTGGAATCAAATTATCGGCACGATCACTCTGATTCGCGGCGATAAAGTCTGGATAATAGATAGATGGCAAAGGTTTAAGAAGCTCGAGTTCGGACGCTACTTGACGTTGAAGATCATAGTCAAGAACTTTGGCGCGTTCCATGGCTTGAGCAAGATTGAGAGAGCTGATGTCCCAACCACCGAGAACTAACTCATTTGGATGCACCATCGGGAGAATTTGACTGAATGGGATATACATATCATTGCCCTTCGCGTCGACGCCGAGTTTCAAGGTTGACGCCTGTACAACAGAACCAAAGTAATTGGGAGTTTTGATGCCGTCTTTGGTACGCCAAGAGATTCCACGACGATTGGCGATAATACTGGCGGTTAGAGTGGATCCATTGTTTCCGCCCCATCCTACCATCATTAATCTTTAATAAAAAAATCCAACATGAGATTAAAGTTAACGTTAAAGATACATTTGAACATCTTTCTAGAAAGGAAAATCAAAAGGACGATCACATTTAATTATGCAAATGATTTTGGGAATCAAAAAGTTTTTCATTTTCGAGCGCCAAAAAAAGACTATCCATATTGCATATCGAATCCTACTTACCCAACTCGTGGAATTTTCAAGTCAGTTTTAAAATGATATCTAGTTTCTGTAGGGTTGACATCAACAGTGCCGTCAGGGTTGGTTTGAATAGTGGCGTTGTTGTAGACGTAGTCGGCGTAGATATGGGTGTTAGTGTAATGAACGTTAGGCGAATTCACCCTAACAGTAGTGGGCGCTGCGGGAATTTCAGAAGTGAATTGCTCGTTGTGTGGTGACATTTTCAAACAAAAGGGGCACAAGAAGGAAAAGAAAGAGGTGAAGAAAAAGAAGAAAGATCGGTTGAACTAGGGAAAAACTTTAGGCTTTGCCGCGACTCTCTTCTTCCTACCCTTATGAGGGTTATGGACAGAGCTAAGATGATTTGCAAACGTGTTGACGAAGTTTTTTTGGTAAAGCGAGTAGAAAAAACTTTACCGCACCCAATAAAACAAAATTTTATTTAAAAGAAAACGTTTTTATTTATGGAAAGTTTATTACAGAAGTTTAAAAGACACAGTTGAGTGAGTGTTAACAGTGTTGAGTAACAGTGTGAATCGAGTGTTATAGCGTTTTTAAATATTTGTTGGATCAATGCTTAATCTTTTTTGATCTAAAAAGATGATGATAAGAACCCATTGATTTTTTGTACACCACCGATACAGCATGATGATCGTGATAAAGAAATCGAGAAAACTTTTTTTTTTCCACAAGCCAAGTAGGAACTTGAATCGGCTTGCGCTTGATTGAAGAAAAAACAATTCACAAATGGATATCTTTAAATGGAATGTGATACGCGGATAATTCCGCCAAAATAAAATTTTTCTTTAATGACAATCATTATCGTTATTCATATGAATTCATTATCGTTATACTATTCAAATGAATTCATCTTCGTTAATTTCTATAATAAAAGTTTTTTTTATAAACATTACTAGGACTAGAGATGTGATCATATCTCAATCAAAAACTGGTTAATTCTTGTCATCCTTTCTTTTTTTTTTTGTTTTTTCACTTGTAACCGAGAGGTTTGGCGTCCCGGTTCGAGACAGCGCCTCTTGTTATAGTTCTATTAGTAACAGCATTTGTTATATTACAATTATCATTGATAAAGAAATCTCCACTGAGTTTACACAATTTCTCTAACGTGTAAATAAACAACCTGTGCGCATAATCAATTTTCGCGGCTTCTACCATTGCAGCTGTTGGGTGATAACTGTATGAACCGGGATCATCCAAATCAACTGAAGCATTGGAAGTTGAGCGTATTTTTGTTTTGTGAGGTCTTTGTGTCGACGATAAGGATATTGTTGAAGTTGGCGTCATAGAAGCGGAATAATAATGAGAATGGTTGTTTGTGCGTGAATCTGTTGCCATTGTGGCGGTTTTTGCCATGATTGTTTGTGAGACCTATTCGAAAGTAGGAAAAAAGAGCCAAAAGTTTTTTGATTTTTGAAAAAAGACACGTGAAAATTCTTTTGTTACGCGTTTTTGTATTCAAACTGTGATTGAAAAATTTTTTTTTAAATAAATTGTACCAGAAATTCACCCTGTATTTATACAAAAAGAAAGTGAAATAACATACTTTATCTATCTATCATATTGCAGTATTATCATCATACATATAACAACGATAAATAACAACAATGCGTTAAGCACAACTCGGTCGTTTCAGTATCCAAATATATATAACTAATATAGTATATAACAATAAAACTTTTCAACCTGATAATAATATGTGTATTATTTTGCTGTTTTGATGTATTTATTATTTACAATTAAAATAATTATTGCAAAAGAATTAAAATTATTATTCATATTAATCTTTCGTTATTCATTGTGCGTAAGAAATAACACGTGCTATTATTGTTTATTGTCACCCTTTAAATTGAGCAAAGCTTGCATTTAATGGTGACGCAATAGCGCAAATATTAAATCATGACCACTATGGAAAAAAATTACGTCATTTTTAATAAACCAATAGTGTGGGGTGGTGGGTTTAAACTTTCCTTTTTCTATTCTTCAAATGCGCGTGATAAAAATCGGAAAAAATATACAAAAACTGCTGTTTAATATAATATAAAGGTAAACCAAATAAAAGATCTGCAAATCAAAATTCTTAAAGTTGGTTTGTAGAATAGCAATGAAAAAATTTTTTGTTATCTTACCATTGTTCACATTTTATTATTTCTCTTCAGATGGAAAGGGTATACTCTTTCTTTTATATTAAAAACTTTAGACTTGACCGAAGAGATCACTGAAATGTCGAATGATGATGAGCTTATAGATTATGACTCTTTTTTAGGTCATCTAAAGATGCTTTACTAACACTTCATTAGAAAGTTCCTTGAGTGTGCTGCTTTGTAGCTCAAGTGATGGTGTTAAAGTTTTTTTAGAGTCCAAGCAATACTTAGCCAGATTCAGCCATGATGTATGTATATCATATTTTTTCCGTCCTGAAAACGGAAACTAACTTTTCACGACAATTAAATTTCCCTATTAGGTATTATTTTTTAATTTTTAATAAGTATTTTGAATTAACCAAGTTAATTTTTTTGGTGTCAAATTTTATTCCATCCACCTTTATTGTTTCAAAATTGCTTTTTAGACAATTGACACATGACTACAGAGTCAAATGGTTAACCTAAATAACAAACAAATTATTTTGTTCTTTGTAATATTTCAACAAGACGAGATTACGCATTAATTCGTTATATATGTGTAATAGGGTTGACCGATTTGAACATAAAAATGTACTATTCCAAAAGACTTTTTAAAACAGCTAGATATTATTTAAATTTATAATTCTTGCTAAATTACTGTAACGTCAGCTGAAGCTACGACAAAAACCTAATATACAATATTTTTTGTAAAGGAGCAGGAAGATTTATCTCGTCAAGTTCTTCGTGTGGCTTTTGAGAATATATAGATTAAAAATTTTCATACGCATGAAATGTGGATTCTTTAGTTCACCACCAATTTTTGAACATCCGTTCCAATCACAGCAGGCATGATTTTGATAAATGTATGCATATACAAAACGTAGATAGGATTCAAGGGATTATGCTGAATTATAACAACCCAGCTTTATGACGTAGCCGAGCAATGACATTCCTAAGACTCGGATATTCAGAACCTGTCCTCGTCGACCCAATCCTATGCAATCGATTATCTTTTCAAAGTCGAACACAATGGCAATCTGTAACCATTAATAGAACACGAAAAAAACATTACTAGAACAAATTTGATTTAAATCTAAGTATCGTTGGATGCCTGGGCTTGCGAAAATGAATGAAACTTTTATCGAATCCATGATTCATATAAACCTTGATCAAATGAAATGCAAAATTTATTAAAGAATGTGACAGAGGACTATTTAAATTCATTGCAAATGTACTTTAAAGAAATTTTCCAAAGTTGCAGCAAAGAATTTCAAAATTTCATCTTCAAACGTTTGGTCAAGGCTGATGGTAACCCTCACAATATGATGCAGAATCGAAGCGCAATATTTTAATTATTAAAAATTATACTCGAAGAATTTGAATGTTGTATAAACAAATACGCAGTCATAGTTTCTATACACACGTGCATGTGCATGTACTGTATATAATATATTCTTTTTTTTGTGTTACAACCATTTCCAACTGCAAGTTTTACTATTGTCTCCATCCCCTGCTGATTTTTGAATGCTTTTTGTATAGATCTAAGGAAAATTGAGCTGAATAGTAATAAATGTTCAATACGATACATCATTCTTTGAACTATGAATCCAGTTTGATATATTGAGCATTATTTTCTGAATAGCAATTCTGCATCTCTTCGTCGAATAAATTAGCTAACAGAACTACAATAATTTTTGAAGATTTTCAAATGCTTTATTTTTGGTAATAATCTCGTAGTCAACCTTGGAATTTAAATTGTTGATCTACACGCTTGAAACATGACCATTAGAGATAAAACACCAAGATTGTAAATCTTTAATTTTTTGTTGTGTAGGAAGTTTCTGTATTTCAAAAATGCGGATCAAGATAATTAAGTTTCCTCATGAATGTGCACTTGGCAAATATCATAGAAAAGGCATAATCAATAATTTGTGTGTTGAGTTATAAAATATATTTGAGAAATTATTACTATAAATATATTTGAGAAACTATTATTATTTAATTAGTCTAATTTGTCCCCAACCTGATTTCAAAACTCGTTAATAAATAAAATCTTTACTTATAATACATGGTTTGTAGTATTAGTGACCAGCACTACTGAAATATTCGATTTTTAAAGGAAGCTTATAAAAAAAATTGTGTGTGCGTGAAGCTTGTAAAAAAAATCAAAAGCTTGTAAAAAAAAACCAAATTGTGTGTGTGTGAAGCTTGTAAAAAAGAACAAATAATAAGTGACATTCAACTATGATCACACACGCGGCCAACAATATTAGGTGTGCGAGGAGTATCAGAGTAAAAGTCAATCATTCTGCGTGGAATAAGAATAATAATAAGAGAAATATCAATTAATATCAAGATTATTATATGCTATTATTCTTTATTATTTACCATCGTCGTCGTCATAAAGATCTTCCAATTCAAGAAGAACAGTAGCAAGTTTCTCTCTTTCATCGGGAATATATTTTATTAATCCAAATATCTGTTGAGAAAAAGCCTCTGGTGTGGTGTTTGGCAATTGCTCCGTTAACCGTAAGGAAGACTCTGGTGATCGTTTCTTCGCTCTTATTTCATCATCATCCAGATCATCATATGGATGTTCTCCGTCTTTGGCTACTATAAAAATTTATCACGAATATTTTGATTATTATTGACAATTAAATATAAGTAATCAAGCATAATTATTACCTGACCATAGAATTAAACCATACGAATAGATATCCGATAGCTTAGGAAAGCTATGGATAGTTAATATGTAAATGAATTATGAATTCTAAATAAAACACGGCTTTTAAGAACATAAAAAAAATATACTTTTCAAAAAATGCCTGCATCCTTTTTTCACAACAAATACGTTCAGGCGCCACGTAATTTAACGTTCCACCCGCCTTATTATTATCCAGAACCAGTTGGGTTCTCGTTTTCGACACTCCAAAATCCGCCAATTTCGGTTCGCAAGACGCACTCAATAGCACATTTTCGGGTTTTAAATCGAGGTGCAATACATTTTTATCATGACAGTGCATTAATCCAAGTGCAATATCACGGCAAACTTTTGCTTTCCATTCCCACTTGACTGTGTTAACCTTTAGGTAACTTGATAGATTTCCATTTGGCGCATATTCTAATACTAGCGAATATATATGTCTATCTTCTCGTACTACTCCATAGAATTTTAAAATATTCGTGTGGTCTTTCAGTTTAGAGTAAATTTGGTATTCTTCTGACAGATCTATATCACGCTGGGTCCACGATAAACGATAGCGATAACGTTAGTAAAATAGTTGCTTATTGATTTATGCATTGCATGTGATCAAATGGACAAAAATCACGTGATCAATTTATTAGTGTAACAGAAACTTTTTGTTCTCTTTATACGGTTTTGTATTCCATTTGGCCCAATGAAGAATGATAAAGATTCGTATTTTATATTTATATATTCTGATTGACATTTCCAAGCTGCAGAAGCCACGCGGCTTACTATAGACATTGGCCAATTAATAAACGGAATGAGGTGGCCCACGTTATGTTTATACTCAGAATGCAAAATATTCACATTCCTTGGATTTCATGCGCATAAGCGGATTATGAATTAATGTGTAAAATAAAAATACCTGACTTTTCTTTATTACAACTTTTTTTCCTTGATAAGTTCCCAAATAAACCTCACTCATTGCACCACTCCCAATCATAACTGGCGGCGAAGACATTTTGATTTTATCTTTCCTTATCGAAACTTTTTTTGAATTAGCCATTTTGTGATAAGTAAATTTAAAGAAGCGTAGGAGAAGAAAGAAAAAGACGTAATATAAGATAAAATGAGGTTATCGAAAAAAGAAATCACCTTCCCTATCTATTTATTCCCTTCATCTTTTATTCAATCGACTTTTGTAACGAAAGGAAAAAATTTTCCTAAAGGAACAAGGAAAAAAAATTTCCTAGTTATGTCAGCTGAAAAAATAATTATGCATACGTACATGTCAATGGTGTGATTATATAAGCATGATAACGATTAAAATTCTAGCGCGTAGAGGTCGCAGATTACAAAATTGAATAATTTGGAATAAAAAAACATTTGATAGTGTGCGAAATTGTAAAATGCAATATTAACTCATAATCTATGGTCCATTCGAAAGTCCTACCGAAATTATTTGGCCAATAAAATGAATGTGTTTCCTTATTTATGCAAACGCTAGGTAGAAACGCATTACGGCGCATTTATTCTACGTTCATTACACAAATGCGATAGGCAACGTTCACGTCGCAGATTACAAAATTGAATGATTTGGAATAAAAAAAACATTTGATAGTGTGCGAATTTGTAAAATGCAATATTAACTCATAATCTATGGTCCTACCGAAATTATTTGGCCAATAAAATGAATGTGTTTCCTTATTTATGCAAACGCTAGGTAGAATCGCATTACGGCGCATTTATTCTACGTTCACGTCGCAGATTACAAAATTGAATGATTTGGAATAAAAAAAACATTTGATAGTGTGCGAAATTGTAAAATGCAATATTAACGCATAATCTATGGTCCATTCGAAAGTCCTACCGAATTACAATTATTTGGCCAATAAAAATGAATGTGTTTCCTTATTTATGCAAGCCAATACATGTTTCAGTTTCCAAAAGTTCGAGCCACGTGATATGAGCCTCGTGATTTTTAAGGATTTATCGCGAACTCAAATTTTAAAACTCGACAAAGAAACCATCAAAACTATCAAAGACGAAAAAAATTAGTGAACAAGGAATTATAAATTATCCTGTTGTATGACCATCTCTATTTTTATTGATTTTGTTTAGAATAACTATGACAACTCTCATATCAGATCCATGACAAATAATACTTTTATTATAAGAATATGACAATTAATATAGATGATAAAATAAGAAAATTACTAAAAAAGAGAATCACTAAAGCCAGGTAGTTAAATTATATTGAAATTCAGATTAATTAAATTCATAAATCTGAATTAAGTAGATTTGAATTAATATTATAATATCATATGATCACATGATTATAATTTGTTTATTTAGTCAGAGTAATTAAATTTGTATATTTATAAGATATTATTTTTACTTGACTAGGATAGAAGGAGAAAGAGGTTTAATATTTTATAATAGAATTATTATATTATATTTTTTATTATGCACTATATTATATAAGAATCATATTTATAAATAATTTCATATTACAAAAAGTTATTAAAAGTTTTTAAATAAATTTTTATGTAATATAAAACACATAATTTTTAAAACTTGATCAAAAAAACTTTTATTTCAAAATCTATATTTTGTATTATTAAACTAGTATTTAATTAAATTATCTTTTATTATAATTATTATCTGAATTTATACTAATATATTATTGACTAAATTTTTAATTATATATTTTGAAATTATTTTTTATGTATTTTTAATATCTCTATCAAGTTTAGCAAGATTAGTTAGCTTTTTCTTTTTATTTCTAATTTTTATTCATAAATTTTCAATTAGATTAAGATTTAAATTTTAAGTAAATCAAGAAAGAATATATAATTTTTTTTCTATATAAAATAATAATATATCCTTTATTTTATAAGATCTAGTATTATCTTCTTAAAATAAACTATTATTTCTTAGAAATATATGCTTCATTATAGATAAAGTATATTTATATAATATTTTAATATAAATAACTCTAATTACTGATTTATGAAATAATATAATCAGTTCTATTATTTTTCATGAAAAATAATTTCAAAATATGCAACTTGAACTATATTTAATTATAATTAAAATATAAAAGAATGACTATTTATTTTCTGATTTTTTTTATATTTTATTAATATAACTTTACTAAAATTAAGTAAAAATTAATTCATTACTTTATAATACTTTTGTTTAATTATTTATTATTCAGTTTTCATATCTAAGTATTACATAAGTTATATCTCTTGATTTACTGATAGAATAAGAAATTTTTATTATATAATATAACTTTTTAGTTCTAGTAAATAAAGAGTATAATAAATAATAATTTTTAAAATATTTTGATTTATTTTTTTTTATACTTCTTTTATTTTAGTAGTATATAATTATCAATTTTATACTTTTTATTTATTATTAAATAATTAAGATAATTATAATTTATAATATTAATCAAATATAATCATCTAAAATAAAACTTAAAATTAATAGATTTAGTTTTGATATATCTTTTTAATATATTATAAATTATTATTTTATTATATCTAATAGTTTTTATAATCTAATTATATAAATTATTATTTTTATAAAAATAAAATATAATATCTTATTATTTCATAATTAATTTATTATTTTTTTATTAGAAGAGTGCCAGAAATCACGTAATTAAATTTTACTATGAGTTAACTCTCTCCATTTCTCTTGTAACTTTTAATTAATCAAAGAATTAATCTTATAATTTTAATCCTATGATACTATTAATAATTCTATGATTTTAATCAAGAAAATTGATTTTGATTTTATATATTTTACTTTATATGACTTTATTATAAATACATTACTTTGATATAAAATTTTATTTTATATAATAACTTATAAATATAATAAAATTATTCTACGTAATTCTCTCTAGCTATTCTAATGCAATCTTTTCTCTTTACTCTAAGTTTTTCAAAGTTTTTTTTTATAAAAATCCAAACAATACCTATCAAAAATATTACAATGCATATGCATATACATATTTGATTCATTTTGATATGTTAATGCTCTAAAATAAAGAAAATCTTGTAAAAGAATGTAATCTAGCATGAAATAAAATTAAAAAAAAGAATATAGAATCTATCAATATCAAAATTAAGATGCTTTTCAATTCTACTTCTCTAATAATCTGGTCTTATTAGAGATATATAAATAGATAATTGTTCTAAATATCTGATTCTATTATCATATTCTCAGTAAATCAGCAATATATCTTGAGAAAGTCATCTTCTAGTATACTGAAAATTATATCAAATACTATTAGTCAAATATCAGTAATAAATATTATAATTAATGCTGAAGAAAAATAAGGATAATATATTAAAATGATAGTTATAACTAATGATATTAATCTATAACATATCTTGTTAATGAAATTAAACATGAGATTGCTAAATAAAAAAAGAAATTAGAATAACTTAAATATCATGCTACTATACAAGTCAAATTTCAGGCCAAAAAAGCAAGACTTTTGGAAGAAGAAATTGCTGAAATATATGACAAACTAGAATAATTATTAGTTATAACTATTTATTCTGACTTGTAAGAAAATATTCATGACTATATAGAGTTTGATACTGTATCTGCAAAGTGAAGAAAAAGTATAATTAAAGTAAAAATAGTAAAATATTTAAAAGAAAAACTTGAAAAAAAATATCAAATCTATCTTGCAAGACAAATACTTTCTATATACCTGCTATCATGATATTAAAACTCATTTGTTACCAAATGACATCATCATCTAGCTCAAATTGAAATTAGTTCAGTTATATAAACTGAGATGAAAATATATATTAATAAGTATTATTATCTAGTATCAGTTAAATTAGCAAAAACCTTTATTGTAAGCTTTTCCAAAGACTTAATCATTATTTCTCAAGATGATAAAGCAAAAATTGGACTGGATATATTAGCAATAAAAAGAATATTCAAGACTATATAATCAGTTAATGAGCTAGTAATAATTGCGAATTATAATTTTTCTATAAATATGAAGCAAAAACTCATTCCATCTGTATACTTACTTATAAATCCATCAGAAAGTAATACATTTCATACTGATTATATGAGTATTTTTATTTATCTAGAGTACTTTATAGGAATAATATCAATAACTTACATAGTAGATCTTATCAAAGTTATACATAATGAACAATTTGAAAAGACTGTAAAATATGAAGAAAATATAAAGTCAATCTGAATTTTATTAATAGATGAAGGATCTGATGAAAATTCAAAATACCTCAAAAATATTCTTGAGTATTTCAAGCTTTTTTGACAAGAAAATCTAGATTACTTGACTGTATGAATTCATGCTTCTAGTTAATCTACTTATAATCCAGTTAAGAGAAGTATGATAATACTCTTTGAGAAGCTCACATCTAAATAGTCAGGAAAATATAATCAACAATGATCTGGTATATAAAAATTTTTAATATATAGAGAAAAGACTATATGATATATGAAAGAGAGATTTAATTCATGAAAAAAAAGTAATTTGTAAATATATTGATAAATATATTAATCTATTTAAAGAAAATGATTTTGAACTTATCTGAAATTAGATTGAAAGACATACATAATTATCTTGATATGTCTTGGATTTTTAAAAATATAATGATTGAACTTGTTGTCAAGTATCTAAAGCACTTGATACAACAGTTCTATTAAAAGAAAATAATAGATTTCTTCCTTCTATTATTAAAGAAAAAGATAATTATTATCTAAATCTAATACACATACTTAAGTGTAACCTTCTAGTTACATGATGTAATATATCCAAATAATTCACAAAGAAAAGTCAGGATATAGTATTATATCAGGAAAATTCACACAGAAGATTCAAGATATAGGCAAAGATATTTGAAATAGAATTCACACAGAAAACTAAATCAAAAACAGATAAGAGATTATATTTAAAACTTATTCTTTATTCGATATATTGGTACTTAAAATTACAGAACAGAAACAGCATCT